TGCTTCCTTGTGTGCCGTGCCGTAGAGCTCTTGAAATGTCTGGTGTTCGGCCGGGATGAACTCCCACAGATTAAAAGTCCGTCTTTGGCACGGAAGAATTCGGCAGACGAGCATGACCTGGACCACGTTGACAAGCTTGATTTTCTTGTCAATCATATTCTTGATGCAGTTCTGAAGTCCGGTCAGCTCCGCAGGCTCACCCCAGGCCAGGCCCTTCTTTTCCCAGGAGGTGAGCCGCATGGGAATTCCGGATCGGAATTCGGGGGCCGCCGCCCAGTTGGCGTCGCGCGGCTCGGTGATGTAGAACCACCCCGATTGCCACCCTTTCACGGTCTCCGCGAAGGAGCCATCAAGCCAGGTGACGTTGGGCATCCTGCCCACCGTGGCGCCTCCGCACTTTGCTTGCTGGCCGCTCACGACCTTCGGCTTCACGCAGAAGATTCGTAGCCACAAGCCGAAGTGAGGCTTGATGCGGAGGAAGGCCTCGCACACGACGATGAAGGCCGAGATGTTGAGGACGAAGTTTGGGGCTAGATCATGGAAGTCCAGCCCATAGTAAAACATGAGTCCGCGGACGAAGGGATGAAGTGGAAATCCTAGTCCACGGATGAAGTGGGCAAGGAACACGACCCTCTCGTGGGGTCCCGGAGTCAGAATGATCTGCCCTGCGTCCGGCAACCGGTGCGCAATATCTATGGCCAAGTATCCGGCCGCCCGGAGCTTCGTGATATGCTCCTCCTTCACGATGGAGGCCACCCACTTGCCCCCATGCTCCGGACATGTTTGTCTGTGCGGAGAAGGTGTGAACTAGGGCTCTGGAGCTCGAGGGTGCGAGAATGGATAAGCAGAGGAGGAAGAAGGCGTGGGTAAAAATGGGGAAATCCTTATCCCTTTATAGAGGCGACGAAAACGGTGCGCCTCCCCACTTGCCCGTTGAAGATCGCTTATTTCCCAAGCGTCGCGATTGATGGTGCAGTTGGGTTATCCGTACCCGTATTGATGGGAATCCCGTGATAAGGGGACATGATCTCTGCTTCGACAAGACGTGCCGAGGAAACCGCCTCGCAATATGCGCTGTGGCTGGTTGTGGAAAACGGTTCGAATAATGACTTGACCGTAGAGTCATGTCACGTTGTCTGAAGTTGTCAACATATTACCTTTGTGGAATATCGTTCTCTCTACGGTGGTATGTGAAGATCGTCTTGCAGATCCGGACACGATTTAAGCATTCGGTAATTACTTTGGAGTATTCGGAGATGGAACGCGCCTTGCAATGTCGGAGACAAAACTGCGCGCCGGACTCATCGTCATTGAAGCCTGGCTCAGGGGCTACTGAGGGAGTCCTGGATTAGGGGGTATCCGGACAGCCGGACTATATACTTTGGCCGGACTGAGGGACCATGAAGATACAAGACTCAAGACTTCGTCCCGTGTCCGGATGGGACTCTCCTTTGCGTGGAAGACAAGCTTGGCGATCCGGATATTAGATCTCCTTCTTTGTAACCGACTCTGTGTAAACTCTAGCCCCCTTCGGTGTCTATATAAACCGGAGGGTTTGGTCCGTATAGGAACGATCATAACAGTCATAATCATCATAGGCTAGCTTCTAGGGTTTAGCCTCTACGATCTCGTGGTAGATCAACTCTTGTAATACTCATATCATCAAGATCAATCAAGCAGGAAGTAGGGTTTTACCTCCATCGAGAGGGCCCAAACCTGGATAAAATATTGTGTCCCTTGCCTCCTGTTACCATTAGCCTTAGACGCATAGATCGGGACCCCCTACCCGAGATCCGTCGGTTTTGACACCGACAGCAGGCGCACGGCGACCTCCGTTTCCCTCGGCAAGCGCCAGAGGAGCGGAGGTAGGAGATATCGCCGGCGGTGACGGTCGAGCCCATCCATGAGCCCGACGGCAGCGCCATCAACGAAGACGAAAGAAAGAAAGGAAGATGGACGATGGTGGAGCTCTACTCGAAGCGGCGGGCGTTGCAGCGCGGCGGTCGCAAGAAGCAGAGGAAGAACAGAGAGGCAGGGGAGCGCGAGCGAGAATAATGTCCACCGCCCCCCTCGCCCCAATTTATAAGCCTCGGTTTAAACGTGGGGGAGTGGGATCGTTTGCGCCCTCCTTTCCCACTACCCCACAATAAGTGCGCACGTACGCACGCAATAACTGCACGGGGAAGAGCAACCAACCCCTGGACGCCGCAATAAATCCGCGCGCGTGGGCCAAGGGCACGCAGCGGCGGGCCCCAGCACGTCGCCTAGTCCTGTTACGCGCGTGGCCTGTCAGGCCCCTCCGACTTCAAGGCACCACGTGGCGCCTGCGCGAAGCCCGAGGGATTGCCCTAAGATTCGATGGACTCCTCGGTTTCCCGCCACTGCCGGGGTGCTGCGATCCAGTTTCCAAAAACCGGCTCATAGTGGGTGTTGCCGGACCCGGCGCTCGCAGGATTCGCCTTTTCAAAGGGGAAAACTGCGAAGGACCTCCCATCCGAAGACGGCGGACCTTCACAGCTTCGGGGGCTACTGTCGGGGGGATGAACCCCGGGCAGGCAACGGAACCCGGATCCTTTTCAAAAACAACGGGGCCGGCATCGCCCCTCAAGCCGGCGCGCACTTGGCCGGGTCGTCCGACCCTGCCAGGCCCCTCGATCTGGCCGAACTCTCCGACCCGGCCAGGCCTCTCGACTCGGCCTCGACAACCAGCACAAGATAGCCGGACCTGGCACGACCAAGACTTCCCCCAACAAGCCAGCTCCATCCTTGGCGTGTTCCTCAACCCAGCCACGGGTCAGCTCCCATCCCATCCAGGCCATACGATGGGACGAGTCTTCATCCACTGATGACCGAGGAAATAGTGCCCCGCCCATGCCTCTGGTCAGCAGGGGCATGGCAACAGTGCCCCTCACCTACCCACTGACCGGGCCGGCGTGGCAATAGTGCCCCCATCGTCACCACTGACGCCAGCAAGCGGTGACCTGACGGAGCGCCACTGTACCTGACTCGACTCGGCCACTCCCTGACGATCGACAAGATGGCGCACAGTCCCCCTAGGAACGTGGGGCCCGCACCTAGGGGAACCCGGTGAACCGCAGGCACCCGGCAGGACCCAGTCCGGGTCCCCAGACGCTGACGACCCGGCCCTACGGCCTTGTAACATTACCATTGTACCCCTGGGGGGTTGGCCTATAAAACCCCCCAGGAGCCCTGGGCAAGCAAGCATAGAGAAGCACACATGAACTAGCCACTGATCAGTAGAACACACCTAGGGAGAAGGAGCAGCCCAAGCCCTGGCCAGTCTTCCTTCTTCCTCCATACAGCTCCAGGAGCAACCTTGTATCATTGCATATCAACCACACTCGGCAAGACTAGGGGTGTCATCTCTTCGGAGAGCCCCGAACCTGGGTATGTCTTGCGTCCCGCGCTCGCTCTTGCCAACCCCGCCTATGGAGCCCACCAGTGCCCTCGAGACTCCTCCTCTCTTTAGCCATCCCATGGTATCTGCTGTGCGCCCACCACGACAGTCTTGCCCCTTGAAGACGAGATCTATAACTTCTCGCCCTGCAACGTGCTGGTGTTGATGCCGATGAAGACCGTGGTCCGCGTTCTCAACCCTGCCACACGGCGCGTCCTCCCGCTGCCTTGGAGCCCCACTAGCACCGATCGAGGACTTCATCTACAGCATGTTCCACCAATTGTTTGGCATCAGATACGACCCTTGCAGCGAGCGACATCTACAAGGTTGCCCGCTTCTTCTTCCGCCCTAAAGAATGTGTCCCGACGGGGGGTTACCACCACAGCTTTGGGATGGGGGTTTTCACCATCGGGGTAGATGGTGGTGCGGCCACCCTACCCGTTGACATTACAGGAACCTCGACCTTCTCCAGGGGCTCTTTGTTTTGGACAATCAACCACGACGAACTTGTGGGTGGAAAATCCCCAGTAGGGCTTCTCCGCTCTAGGCTGGAGGACTAATCGTCCACTGTCACCCGGTTGCCTCCTTGTTGCGAAGGACTCATATACAAGATGTCCTACTTGGCCGAGCTGCGCGGGGAGCTGAGCGTGGCTCAACCCCCGCCCAAGTCTGAGTCGATTGAGATTTGGACGTGCAACGATGTGGACATCAACCCACCACAATGGACTCTGTGTTACATCTTCAGCAACTATTGTCCCCATACAGATGAAAGACTCGAAATTGCCATGTACGATCTATGCAAAGATATATTTATCCTACAAGTTCCTAAGGATATAGTTGGACTGGATCGCTTGATACACCATGACCATGACTCGGTGATCCCCTACATTCCATCCCTAGTTCCAATCTACTCTGTGTATTATTTATCGTGGTTTACCAAGTTCAGTCAATCATTAACGTTTACATACAGAAATCATATGACATCTATCGTGGTACTAGTAAACGCACCAGTTCAAGCAACCAAGCTCCTATGGCTCACGCATTAAATTAAAATCTACCGAAAATGAAACTTTCGCGACGATCGCATCATCTTCCGAGCTTTAGCCGTCGCCCTCGGCACAACTCATCCGATCTGGCTATCTTATTCATTGAGTTGCAACATGGCATGGTTTATAGGTTTACAACATTCTCAAGAGCACCCCCAGTTTGCACCCAGGAATCCCTAGGCGGGTTTTTTGCTGTCAAAATCCATGCATATATATAGATCACACATAAAGATGGTTTGACACAAGTTCAAGTACTAAGCTAGCAAAACATGGCTTGCTTCAGTGAGGTTTTGCTTCCGTCATCGATTTGAAGCAGAACTTTACAAACAGTGCTCCACAATGGGATGAAATATCTAATCCAGACCAAATGAACACTAGTGCCTCCACCAGAAGCTAGAGATTCCTTTAAAAAACTGAGATTTGGAAGTACTCGCTTGTCAAACCCAGTCATACAAAGGCACCCCATCACTTGCTCATGGGGCCTATTGTGGCGTGACGGTTACACCCACCATCGCTGTGGCGCTTGTACCGGCTCCTCAGAGCAACACCTTCGGCACAAGGAACTGGAAGCAATCTTTGGGAAACCCATCATACAGATTTGTGCTCCTTATTAAGAACTCCATAGACTGAGAAAAGCTCGGTTCAGTGCACGACAATGTTAGCTTGCACCTGAAGCTGGATCCAGTAGTGTGAGGCTGGACGGAGCAAACTGAGATGACACCGCCACGGGACTCCATTGTCATGTTGACCAGGAAGAGGTTCCCATCCTCGCCCACCAGAACGGTTGATCCCACATGGATGCGGATCCGGAACGCCTTGTTGTAGGTAACTTTTGGGGAGTGCCACTTGTGCTTGCCTGAAAAATGCTCCAGGAGAACTGCGGTAGGTCCGCTGAAGCCGCAGTCGGTTTCGGGGCAGAAACATGGTGCATGTGGACAACCTTTCTCATGGTCTTCTTTCTGGTAGTAGGATATCCTTGCAGTGCATCCGTGATTGCAATTGGAGCAAGCAACTTTGATGGATTCAACAAGATGTTCTACCATGTGGCAGCGGTTGTAGACTGTGGAAAGGGAGCAGAAGTGGCACTTCTCTGGGAGCTTGTCATGGCAAGATGAGCATATGGTATGCCCCACAGTGCACTGAGGAACATAAACAACAAATATATCAGTATATATGCTAATGAGTTTAGCTGAATTAAAACCATAATGATGAATAACACAGGAATTGTAAGTATGTAGATTGTGGTGGCCAACTACATGCTAGAATAACCATGATATGGTTTTGAGTTAACAAAATACCAATAAAGTTGTAAAAAGGGAGCAGATAAGTATATCCTGCATGGAATTAAGCTCAGCTATCACTCCCATTTCAATACCTTAAAATCACCAGATGCAACTGTTAACTTATTTTGTTTTGTTTTTTACCTGGAACAGTGGGGGAGGCCCCCTGTGTCAGACCTCTTCGCCAGCAGACAAGAAGCTAAGAAAAGTGGTGATGATCCGCTATATTTTCTGTTTATAAGGTGGAGATAATTACAATGAAGTGTACAAATGGGGTAGACCCTAGTTACAAAATATTGTGTGACCAGTCAAGGAAACTTAGTCTGTGGGAGTCCTTAACCCTATGTGAAACAAAGACTAGCTCTGACTTAAGCACTTTCCAACTAGGGAAGGAACGTTTCAGCCGCTAAAAAATGGTTCCTAACCTTCCAAATATTCTGATGAACAGATAACATACACACTTCCCAGAAGCACGGCCCAACAAATATTTCATTAGCAGCAATTACCTGAGTTACGACTGTTAACACGCAGATTGTACATTTCAACGACATGGCTTGGGCTTGTGTAACCAGTTAAGGAAACTTAGAAGGTGTCAAAGAAATCCCCGTTACCTGTTTACGGTGTAAACCCAAAATGTTATGCCTGTTTGACCCCCTACTCCTCGAGCAGCGCCGCCGCCACCCCGACCCCCTTCGAATCCGGTGTCGCCGCCTCCCCGAGCCTCTTCGAACCCCCCTCTGCTTCCCCTCGATCCTCTCCTCCAGATCTGCACCACGCCAGCCACAGGCACGACCTGCGTCTCCTGGTAGCTATCGCCACCGCCCCTGGTTGCCACTGCAACTCGCCCTCGTCGCCAGCCGGACCGGTTTCTGCAAGGTGCAGGCTCCCTCCCTCCTCCTTCTGTCATCAGTCCTCCGTACTCCTCCCTTGTCTACTCTCCTTCCCGTTCTTGTCTGCTCTCCTTCCTTGCAGCCACCGGTGGCGACGACCCCGAAGCAGACACCATAACTCAATCCCTTTATAGGCATCAACCAAACAGAACACAGATTTATCAGCGTTACTAGCTCTGACTTAGTGTATGGGTGTCCTTAACCGTATGCCAGCGTGATCTAATTCCCTTACTGTTCATATTACCAGTCTCTAATCCATCACCTCCTTAGTGTATGGGTGTCCTTAACCGTATGCCAAACAAGGACTAGCTCTGACTTTAGAAGCACTTTCCACCTAGGGAAGGAAAGTTCCTGGCGCTAACAAATAAAGTTGTTGCTAACCTTCCAAATATTCAAAAGAGCAGATATATACACTTCCGAGAAACACATCCCAGCAAATGATCCCTTAGCAGCACTTACATATGAGTTACGACTATGTTGACTCGCAGATGTACTTTGCATGTCTATTAATCATACATTTCAACAATATGGCTTGGGCCACCTTTTATGCTTCAGACTTAGTGTACAGCCGTTACACATTTGCTTTAAAAACTACAGAAATTTCATACAAGTTAGGTGGATCTAAAGCTCTACCCAATGTGCCGCATAAATAGGATTACGGTATCATCATTTTATAATAAAGAAATAGCATTCACACTGTAGAAGAATGCACATGAATCTCCAATTAACATGAATTTCTTGCATAATGTAATTTTTATACAGAGATACGCCAGCCAAGCCACCCAACCTCAAGTTGATAATATGTCATTGCTTCATCGAATAAAACATATTTACCGTAGTTTGTGGTTTCTCCATAATGATGATACATAGATTTCATGACTTGCCTAGTTTGCATAGGGCACTGCCAAGTTTCCCTAATATAGCATAATTTTCCACAATTACAACAGGAAGCAGTGAGCATTGAAGAACACGGAAAAACGTTTGTTAGGTGGTACACATTCTTCAACTGCAATTACCATCTGAATCCATTCTACTTAATTCTACTGCAATGCCCATTCCCACTTCTGTCCATAGTTGCAAGTTGCAGCATTTATTAAGCTGAATGCTACAATTGCCCATCCCAACTGAATGTTTGACCAACTAGTGAAAGCTCGAGAGACATTACAACATATCTGGGCTAATGTCTGCATCTGATTCTTCATTCTTCAGTGATGTCAATCTCGACTTGCAATTTTGCAACCACAAAATTAGAAGTTTATAGACCTGGTAGTCTGGTACCCAAGTCTAATTTCTGGATCGACTACGCACTGAATCCTATAACTAACTAAATAATCAGGGGAACATCCCCATAGTTTGGCGACAAAACTAATCTAGGAACCAGACGCATTGGAAGTGGTACTAAAATATGCAGATTTTCGCAGTACTTTGAGACTCCCAAAAAGAAAATCCACAGATTCATTTGCACCGGAGATGAGTGAATCCATGAGGGGCTCGTAGGGTTTGAGTAGTAGTGGTATCAGTACAGATCAAGAAAGGTGCAGGGGTACCTGGAAGATGGGAGGGCGCAGGGGCTGGTAGCAGACGGGGCAGTCGAGGATGTCCAGGTCAATGGTGATATCGGCGGCGACCTTCCTCCTCTTGCCGCCGCCGCCGCCCTCCTTTTCCGCCTCCTTCTCCTGCTGCTGCGCTTGCATCCCTTCCTCCTTTTCTTCCGGCAGGCAGGCCCATGGCGGGAGGTGACCGACAGGAAGATACACATGCGCGGCCATCCGCTGGACCCCAAGGGCTTCCCGTCGCACGGCCGGAGTCGAGCCGCCGCTCTCTTCTCTTCTCTCCCAGCCGCCGCCGCCACTGCCGTCGTCTTTCTCTCTCTCGCTTTCTTTCTCTGGGACCGACTGCTTTGTAAAGTTTCGAAATTTGGAACAGAAGGTGGAGAAGGCAACGGAGACGGCGCAAAAGTTGGGCCGACCAACGGCCCGGTTAATTGATGGCCGAGCTTTTCCGCGCTGAGCCCCTAAACTCGGCCTGAATAGATCCCTAAATTCGGCCGTCTCAGAATTTTTTTATTGATTAGGTCATTTCCTTCGTATCTACGGGATTGAGGGCATTTTATGCAGGGACCTACAAAAATAAAAAAACGATTGACATGAGGGAACTTTTAGCACCCGCCAGGGTCTTCCCCGAGTGCGAACTCGCCGGAACGCCTCGATGCCGACGACCATCGGACCATAGTCGTCGCTCCGCATGCTGCCGTCGCCGCACGAGTGTCGCGAGGTGCTGCCACGAGCTACGCTAACTAGCTACAGCTGTTGTCGCCACCACGGCGAGCTAGCTAGTTGCCGCTGCGTCGTAGGCGAGCGAGCTAGCTAGTCGTCGCTACTGTCCGCCCCGTGGTTGTCGTCCTGCTGCACTCGTCATTGTCGGCAAGATGCGTGCTCCTTCTCTGTCCCTGACGAGATGCTCGCGGTGGGAACGGTCGAGACGACTTCGATTGTAATTTAACAAAAGTTTTAGGGGATTATGCACACCATAAGTTAGTTGTATGTTGATAGGATTATGCATTGGAGGGCTAGAGTGACAGAAGTTTCTTCCCACCATTGAAATTGACTTATACGGGATTGAAGGGGGGCAATATATCTTAATGCTATTGTTAAGTTTTAACTTAATGAACTTTGGTAGTTGTGGATTCTTGCCAATAGTTTCAATCATAAGTTCATAGAGTTCCAAGTAAGAGACTACATGCTAGCAGAGGCCCTCTCCCACATAAAACTTGCCATCGGTCTAGTATCGTAGGCAATTGCCTAGGGACAATTACGTACACCATACCATCATTATTCGACACTCTCTATTTATAATATTATGTAATATATTTTAACTTTATTTGGGCAACACCGTTGCGAAAGCTCTATTTATAATATTACGTATCATTTAGATGACTTGAGGGATGTCTATCTAAGTGGGAGTTCTTATGTAATATGATTAATTGAACTTAATTTATCATGAACTTAGTTCTGATAGTATTTGCAAATTATGTTGTAGATCAATAGCTCGCGTTGTAGCTTCCCTATGTTTTTTTGATATTCCTAGAGAAAACTAAGTTGAAAGATGATAGTAGCAATGATGCGGACTGATACGTCCATTTTGGATCATGCTTTATCGATATTTATTGCATTATGGGCTGTTACTACACATTATGTCACAATACTTATGTATTTTCTCTCTTATTTTATAAGGTTTACACGAAGAGAAAGAATACCGGCAGCTGGAATTCTGGGCTGGAAAAGGAGCAAATATTAGAGACCTATTCTGCATAACTCTAAAAGTCCTGAAACTCCACGAATGTTAGTTTTGGAATACATTAAAAATATTGGGCGAAGAAAGCAGCAGAGGAGGGCCACCCACCAGCCACGAGGGTGGAGGGTGCGCCTACCCATCGTACCATGTGCCTATAGGCTGTAGCTTTGGCATTGACCCATTTAGCACACATGCTACATGGGAGGTGGTTGATAATTTGAATTTGAATTTGATTTATTTGATTCGGTGGTTAATAATTGGTTGCAGCAAATTGGGAAACCGATTAATCTTGCCATGATCAGGTATAATACTGTAGAAACAAAGTATTGGAAAACTAGCATATTCTTGTGTGCTCAACCTTAACAACAAGAAAATACATTGCCCATATTGCCAAGTATTTAATTCAGGGTGGACACATTACATAAACCCATGACACCATACAATTCTTTCCCAAAATAAATATCTAGTCATATCTCTCTACAAGATAAAGTTGAATTCCTCTAAAGCTAAACAGAAGGAAACTTTCCAAAGATAACACTGCAGCTCTCAAAACTCAGCTCTCAATAGCTCAGAAGATAAGGTTGAAGCTCTGGCAAGATGACACTGAAGCTTTTAGCTTCATCTTGTACTACACCAAATTAAAAGAAAAGGAACATGTTGCCTCGGAACAAAATATAAGAATCTGCAGATAGACATGAACAGATCAAATATAGTGGACAAACACATTATGAAATAATATAGCCAATTTTTACAACTACCTTTACAATACCGAGTTCTTCAGACAAAAATGGGTCGCTGGTAGCTCCCTTTTTTGGTGTATATTGAAGCTTTCTAGATTTATGAGGGGAGGATGTATTTCCATATCATGGCGTCCTCCACCATTGCAACCAGTCCCCCAGTTTCATAGAAATGATATCAATAATACATCACCAAAATCGAGTGGGGCTTGGTTACTCTAGAAAAAAGAGTTTGGAGGGTTAGGTATTACTAATATTGTGAAGGAAATATGCCCTAGAGGCAATAATAAAGTTATTATTTATTTCCTTATAATCATGATAAATGTTTATTATTCATGCTAGAATTGTATTAACCGGAAACATGATACATGTGTGAATACATAGACAAACAAAGTGTCACTAGTATGCCTCTACTTGACTAGCTCGTTAATCAAAGATGGTTATGTTTCCTGACCATGGACAAAGAGTTGTTATTTGATTAACGAGGTCACATCATTAGTTGAATGATCTGATTGACATGACCCATTCCATTAGCATAGCACCCGATCGTTTAGTATGTTGCTATTGCTTTCTTCATGACTTATACATGTTCCTATGACTATGAGATTATGCAACTCCCGTTTGCCGGAGGAACACTTTGGGTGCTACCAAACGTCACAACGTAACTGGGTGATTATAAAGGAGCATTACAGGTGTCTCCAAAGGTAGATGTTGGGTTGGTGTATTTCGAGATTAGGATTTGTCACTCCGATTGTCGGAGAGGTATCTCTGGGCCCTCTCGGTAATGCTCATCACATAAGCCTTGCAAGCACTGCAACTAATATGTTAGTTGTGAGATGATGTATTACGGAACGAGTAAAGAGACTTGTCGGTAACGAGATTGAACTAGGTATTGGATACCGATGATCGAATCTCGGGCAAGTAACATACCGATGACAAAGGGAACAACGTATGTCGTTATGCGGTCTGACCGATAAAGATCTTCGTAGAATATGTAGGAGCCAATATGGGCATCCAGGTCCCGCTATTGGTTATTGACCGGAGACGTGTCTCGGTCATGTCTACATTGTTCTCGAACCCGTAGGGTCCGCACGCTTAAGGTTACGATGACAGTTACATTATGAGTTTATGCATTTTGATGTACCGAAGGTTGTTCGGAGTCCCGGATGTGATCACGGACATGACGAGGAGTCTCAAAATGGTCGAGACGTAAAGATTGATATATTGGAAGCCTATGTTTGGACATCAGAAGTGTTCCGGGTGAAATCGGGATTTTACCGGGTTACCGGGAGGGTTACCGGAACCCCCCGGGAGCCATATGGGCCTACATGGGCCTTAGTGGAAAGGTGAAAGGGCTGCCCACCAGGGCTGCGCGCCTCCCCCCCTTCCCCTAGTCCTATTAGGACTAGGAGAGGTGGCCGGCCAGCCCTCTCTCTCTCCCCCCCTTGGGAATCCTAGTTGGAATAGGATTGAGGGGGGAGTCCTACTCCCGGTAGGAGTAGGACTCCTCCTGCGCCACCTCCTCCTGGCCGGCGCCTCCTCCCCCCTTGGCTCCTTTATATACTGAGGCAGGGGCACCCCATAACACACAAGTTGATCCACGTGATCTATTCCTTAGCCGTGTGCGGTGCCCCCTGCCACCATATACCTCGATAATACTATAGCGGAGTTTAGGCGAAGCCCTGCTGCTGTAGTTCATCAAGATCGTCACCACGCCGTCGTGCTGACGGAACTCTTCCCCGACACTTTGCTGGATCGGAGTCCGGGGATCGTCATCGAGCTGAACGTGTGCTCGAACTCGGAGGTGCCGTAGTTTCGGTGCTTGATCGGTTGGATCGTGAAGACGTACGACTACTTCCTCTACGTCGTGTCATTGCTTCCGCAGTCGGTCTGCGTTGGGTACGTAGACAACACTCTCCCCTCGTTGCTATGCATCACATGATCTTGCGTGTGCGTAGGAAATTTTTGAAATTACTACGAAACCCAACAGTGGCATCCGAGCCTAGTTACTTATGTTGATGTTATATGCACGAGTAGAACACAAGTGAGTTGTGGACGATACAAGTCATACTGTCTACCAGCATGTCATACTTTGGTTCGGCGGTATTGTTGGACGAGACGATCCGGACCAACCATACGCGTACTCTTACGCGAGACCGGTTCCCTCGACGTGCTTTGCACATAGATGGCTTGCGGAAGACTGTCTCTCCAACTTTAGTTGAACCAAGTGTGGCTACGCCCGGTCCTTGAGAAGGTTAAAACAGAGTCTATTTGACAAACTATCGTTGTGGTTTTGATGCGTAGGTGAGATTGGTTCTTACTTAAGCCCATAGCAGCCACGTAAAACATGCAACAACAAAGTAGAGGACGTCTAACTTGTTTTTGCAGGGCATGTTGTGATGTGATATGGTCAAGGCATGATGCTGAATTTTATTGTATGAGATGATCATGTTTTGTAACCGAGTTATCGACAACTGGCAGGAGCCATATGGTTGTCGCTTTATTGTATGCAATGCAATCGCGATGTAATGCTTTACTTTATTACTAAACGGTAGTGATAGTCGTGGAAGCATAAGATTGGCGAGACGACAACGATGCTACGATGGAGATCAAGGTGTCGCGCCGGTGACGATGGTGATCATGACGGTGCTTCGGAGATGGAGATCACAAGCACAAGATGATGATGGCCATATCATATCACTTATATTGATTGCATGTGATGTTTATCCTTTTATGCA